TTTTGAAAGCAAAATACTCTTCTCCTAAGCCAAAATGGTAGAAATATTCTGATTGGTTGGAGGTTAGCCTTTTAGCCAATCAGAAATCACTTTAGGAAGCCCCAAATATATAGTTGGAAGGCAGAAGCAGCAGTTTTCTATATGGTCCTATGAGATCGGCCCTGCCAGTTTCATGGCCAGAGTTAAGGTTAAAAAATATTTTTGGCTTTAAAAATTTATTTTTTTTAACAAGTTTTAGTGCAGGCCTGTAAATCGTCCGCCAATAGTCGTAAAAGTGCCAATCTCTAAATCACGCACACACCCTAAAAAGGAACGGCTGACCCACTTCGCGCCTTGCCCACAATAATACCGTACACAAATTGAAGCATCGGTGCCTCGCTTCTGAGACCCAAGCAGTCTCAGAATAGATTTTATTGTTCGGCCGACACGCGGCGTGAGTCGGTGTGCCTTCACCCCGCTCGCTTCGTCCATCTCATCGCTTCCGCCGCAATCTCTCGTTTGCCCCGTTCAGACTCATTTTTGTTCATTGTAATATGATAGTAATTTGAAAATGAGGTCACTATTACTAATATTTATGGGAAATTACTAATTTTCTTCATTACTAAAAACCATGGAGATGGGTTGGTGGCCCTGCCTTGGTTTCGAATTGCACTGACCACAGGTGGTTGTATATTGTAACAGATGGTTTGGAGGTGGGGGGGGGGGTGTTAACTGGAAGAGCATTTATTTTGTTTAATCCCATATTTTTTGTCCATTAAGTCTTTTTGTTTGCTAGTGACTTCATGGGTTTTTGGGTATTTTCTCGAAATCCCTCATTTCCAGCGCTTTCGTCATGCGTGTAAGTAAGCTTACTTTTAAAAAGCTGTTTGATTTGAGTAAGCGTATGATTTCGTTGTCTTTTGGATAGATGGTAGATTATGTATGATCGGTATTTTTTAAGGCCACTGGACTGCTGTTCTTGTGAAATGTGCGCGCGCCCTCCCACCCGCCGACACCGCCACACACCCCATGGGGGGGGGGGGGGGGGTTGTGTGTGTGTTCACCCCAAGCTTTTCTGATTGTATATTTTGTTTCTTGCAGGATTCAACATCAGCCAGAGGAGGAGGAGAAAGAGTGCTATTGGTGCCAACCACAGAATCACAAAAGATGAATGCATGAAGTGGTTTCAGCAAAAGGTTTGTTTTTTTCTAGTAAATACAGTGCTTCCAATCTTCCGAATTTTCATAGAAATTTGTATTTTCTGCCCGTTCCATACTTGCTCCTCCATCATTCTCAACTCCCTCGGTAAAAAAGGTGCGACGGCGTAGGACTACTGAAATTCGGTGACAAGGGATCTGTACTTGCCTTCGCATCGTCTTGTATAAGTTGCGGATATTTACGGTAATTCTCTGGGTAATAAGTTAATGTTATAGAATTCTGACAGAATTCTGAAATCTGCTATTATTTCGCTGTGCCCCATGAATTCATTGCGGATTGGTCAGCAGTACGTTTTTACCTGCAGATTGATCAAAATCTGGTGCACTTTTTGTGCCAATTTCCTCCTTTCTATCGTTCACTCATTCTTTCTGTCTGTCTTTGGGCTTATCTGCGAGTTGATCAAGTAAACTGATTTTAAACAAATTATTGTCTGAAAGAAATTTGTCTTGATCCAGAGAAATTGTCAGTGCGAAGAATCTACGGCGCAAGATTGCAATAAGGGCCGTGGAGAAAGAAAATTTATGCTAATACTTGCTAAAAAATCAAGAATAATTTGAAGTGGTGTTCCAAGGTTGTGACATACAAAGTTCAAACATGGCGGTTGGGGAAAATTAGAATGCATACGCTGGATAACTGTATTGTGAAGGCAATTCATTATTCCCAGGTTTGTCTTCTATCAATGGTGTGATGTCAAATTAATTGAATCATAATAGCAATGGAAGGGGATCCTGCTTTTAAACTTTGCCGACAATGGAAAATGTAGGTGAAAAAATCAAACAAGACAAAATGTTGGTGAAAAAATAAATGTTATGGGTTGTAGGCAATCTCTTCAAACAGGCTCCCAGGTGCCATTTTCAAACCTCTAAAAGCACTAGATATCAATTTCTTCTGGGACTTCGTCCTCTGAACCCCCACTGGGACGCTGTCCCTGGGCCCTGTGGGGGGCTTGGCAGAATTTTACTTACTTATCAGCTTCAGCTGTTGGAAGCACTGTATATTTTGGGTTTGTTATTATCCTTTTTTATGGTAATAAACAGTCCCGTTTTATTTTTTCTTCTTTGCCTTTCCAGTAGTCGCGCCCCCACCCCCTTGCTTCTTGAATATTTCTGCAATAAAACTCTCTGCCATTCTGCCTGCCTTAGTTGTTTTGGGTCAGGGCAAGGTTTGTAGCCTCTATTCCTGTCTTCTGTTATGTGTCTTCCCCACCCTCCTCTCTTGTCTTCTACCTTTGTTTCCAGAGTGATACTTGAGGGGATCATGGCGCTGTTTACATCTTTTACCGAAGTAAATTCATTCAGAATTTATTTTTGTTGTTACAATGTGTTTTGTTGTCCCTCTGAACAGTTTTTGGGCAGGATGTGTGGATTAAGGTGGGGGTTTGTAGGTGGTGGTTGTAAGAAGATGTGACAAATACTGTTTCTGACTTGCAGCCTCGTCTAATGATCATTCTTTTCTTTATTTTAAAAAACTGGATTTTATATTACACCAGGCTACATTCTGGCGTGCCCTGTTTATTTGGGGGGGGGGGGGGGGGGGTTACCTACTTTCTGTGATAACTTTTTTTATTATTGAATTTCAATTTGTGTTACCGATACTGCTGCTGCTTCTGTTGAATTTTCATTGTTCATGCTACTCTTGTTTGTTTCCAGAAGTGTATTCTAAGGTTGCCCAAATATGTGTAGCCAGCTTGGGAGGGGGGGGGGTTATTACTTGATTACAATTTTTTTTTTTTAATGTATCTATTGTTAAGGAAAGAACGTGCTGGTTTATGTTCTTAGTCATTATTTCCACCCCACCCCTTCACCACATTTTGATAACCATTTTTTTTTTCTTCTTTTCTTTCAGTATGATGGAATTATCCTTCCAGGAAAGTGAGCAAGCAGGAAAAATATTATAATAAAAAGGGTCAATAAAACCGCTGATATTGCCCGACATATCCTGAGTTGTTGTGTTTACTGCTGGTTTTGGGTTTTTTTCCCTGTGATTTCATTGTCTTGGTCTAGTGGTCCATATTTGTTTTGTCGAACACAGAAGACTCAAAATCACGCATCCATCAAACTATGCCTGCGGACGCTGCTCCCGCCTCTTAAATTAATTTTTTTTTTTTACCCTCTTCTTCATCTTTGTAAGATCTCCCTCGAACTGCCGAGGCCTGTCTGGTGGAGTTTGAGCCATCCATGTTATACTGTATGTTCAATTGGCTAGGGCTTTGTTTTGTTTTTTAATCTTGTATCTTTGTCTATCTGCTGGGATGTTATATTCCTGTGTCCTTGTTGGCCATGACAGACATGACTCACGCAGCCTGATTCATAAATGATCCATGTCAAGTTGATAAGGGTGTTGAACATGAACATTTACAAGTACAATATAAGACACATATATAGATCTTTGTCTTTGTTGTAGCGAATAGGTGTTCCGCAGTGGCACACAAGACCAAAGTTCAATTCCCATGTTGGGAAGATTTATCAAGTATTCTATCTTTCTGCTGGGACATTGTAAGTTTCTCAATCCGAGTTGATAGAAATGGTCAAAGCCCACCATGGGGGGGGGGGGGGGAGACAGACAGAAGGAAAAGCCCATTTCAATTTGCTGAGAAATATAATAAGATATTGTCTTTTACTGGCTCTCTCTCTCTCACAAACACACACACACACTTTCTCTATCTCTCTGTCATTGTCCCTCTCACACACACACTTTCTCTCTCCTGTGCTCCTCCTTTCCTCATAAATAAAACAAGTAATCTTTCTGTCCTTTCTTTTTATATCACGCATGTATAATATATACATGCGCACACTAGAATACACAAAAGGGCAACAAGAATGGAGGTTAATCTTAAATTTTTAAAAACAGCTCGAGGGCTTACTCTTCTTGGATGTTTTGGTAAGTGCTTACAGCGCTCCCTTTGTGGAGGTACTGAACACTCACAAGTTGTATGCATTTATGCACTCTTCAAACCCTTCGAGTAAAGTGAAAGAACATCCACACGGTGTGTGTGTGTTGGCCTACATCTTGACCACGGCCAAACCCCTGGAGTTGGATCGAACCCAGGTTAAGAACCACAGGAAATAAAGGGTAGGCTACTTCACTACTTGAAACCTATCGAGGAGCTGATTCAAATTCTCACGGTCCATTTTAATTAGAGTTTTATGGCACTTGAAACACAAAGGTCATAAAAGTGCTGAAGATTAAGAGTAAACGTGCAGAGTGGAGGCACCTTTTTCCTGTCTGGCACCAATTCGGGGAGCGGCAGGTTTCATTTACATGGTATGAAAAGCGTTTCGAGCGACAGTGTAGTCGCCAACCTCTCCACCTCCCCTTTTTGAGGTTAGTCCCCTCCAAGCCCCCCAAAAGGTTGGTGACTGAATTTTAACTCAGCACTAAAAATTCTCGCGCCTTCAGTCACCAAACCCCCCTCACTGCGTGTACTCACTAGCACACGATACATAAGGGCTTAGCCAAGCCTTGGGTTTGTTTTTTCTTGTCCGGTACCTTATCAAGCAACTTCCAATTATTATAGAATAGCCAAGATGGATCCTGAACAAGCTTTCTCAACCAATGTAAAACCATCCACTGAAATATTTCTTCTTCCATCTTGTACGGACAGCCTCGAAAATATTTTTACATTGAGAAAATGTAATAACAATCACGAACACTGATTCAAAAGAGTGAAGATGTCAGCCCTTCAATTCATAGGGGACGTCGGGGGAGGGGAGAGGCCTTCACTCTGTCATCGACTTTCCTCTCCCCAAAAGGGGAGTGGAGAGGCTAGGGGCTAGCTCCAGAAAGGTGACTGTTTTTGAGTCTTACTCTTAGTAGTAAGTGTTTTATGGCACTTGCAACACAATAAGGTCATATAAAATTAGCAATTCTCGAAAGGTGGTCGAAGTTGCACTGGGTTTGAGATGTGAGCTCTACTGGGCCTCTCCCTAGTGTTAGCAATGAATGGTTGATATCCAGATGCCAAGAACTGAATGATGAACCTTGCATAGCAGTTTCTCAGGGCTCTGTGTTGTGTATTTTTTGTGTTATGTGCCTATAAAGACAAAAATTGGAACTAAAAATGTTACTACTTACATTGACTGGGCTGGGGAACTCTTTCATTCTGCCCTTCTCCACATCAATGTCAGGTTGTATAATTTTAGGGAGTGCTTATTTAGGCCACATATGGCCTAAATAAGGTAAGGGAGGGGGGTTTAGCTTATTTAGGCCACACATGCTCAAACTACCCTTTTCAGGCAACTGAGTTCGTTCCACTTTCATAATGGTGCACCTTTCTCATTTAGTACGGTTTTGTCTCAGTGTACAACTTATAAATCATAACCATAATGAATATTGTAAAGAACAAAGCACAATACGCAAAATTTTGCTCAATCCCAATGGTTTGAATGAGGGCCAGATTTTTCCTTCAAAGAGGGGCAAAAGCTAGGCTACCATTTTGGCACACTTTGGTCAAGTGAAAAGGTCAAATCCTCCGAATGGACTTCCGAGTTAAATTTGGGGTATAAAAAGAGTGTACACTACGTGGCTGAGTCAAAGTTACAATATCTTTGCCTGAGTGACACTCTCTCGTACTGTCTCGTAGTAGTACATGTAGGCTAGTAGACCTGGTAGTAGTAGTAGCAAAGATCGTGTAGAGAATATTTGGTAGTAGATTCTATCTAACTAGTAGGCAGTTTAGTGAACGTGCTCAGGGCGAATCGGCCTCGATAAGCCCTGTAGACTTTTGTGATCGGCCACGAAGCCTCGTGTTTTGATGGGTCTAGATCTAAACAACTCAGTGTTATTCGCACTGCCACATCCGACAGGCCTAGATCTACATCTTTTTAAAAGGAAAAGAAAGATCATCAAAATGGTTGAATTCGCGTGAAAATCGATTCGGTAGAACTAGAATTATTAAAATTTGCTTCTGAAAACAAGGCAATTTTTATACGAAGGCCATTTTTATAACTCGATGAAATAAAAACTACTGGCTGTGTACTGTGTTATTCTGTATAAAAATAAATTATGAAACTTCAGGACGTATGATTATTTTCCAGCATCTTTTGACGCCTGAGCTGTAGAGGTTGAAGTTTTCACAACACTAATAGATCTAGTAAGAGGGTTAGGTAATAGGGCTTTCCGTAAAAAAAATGCATAGATCTACAAAAGCCGAACCACCAAATCGACCGGGCACCTCGGCACCTCGTTCTTCCCTGCATGCTGTGATAACTTGTTGCTGCGGTATCGCATTATTCAACTATTAATACGTGCGGCTATGGCAATTGGGATGTACTGACTGAAAAAAATTCAGTTTTGTTTTTATTTTACCATATATTTGACTTTAATAGTGCAGGCGATAGCAAGATCTAGATTCCCTGTCTAGAATCAGTAGTAGCAGGCCTATCCTAGAAGCAGCCAGAGAGCCTACAACTGCTAGATCTAGATCTAACTTTTTATTGCTATGCCTTTGGGCTTTGGAATTGAAATAAAACGAATTGCACAGTTCTAGTTACTTTTAGATTCAGCAAGTAACTGTATTTCCAGAGTCAATAATAACAAATCTCAGCATAACAATCACTTTTACTTGTATTAGAATAATTAGATCCAACTTTTTTTTCTAAAATCTGTTTTGCGCAAACTTAATATTTTCTCTACTTGTAGAGCACAGAATTTACATTGTAAGCCTCTGCTCAGTCTTTTAGTATACATAATAAAATACACACACACAAGCACACACACACACACACACATATATATATAGAGAGAGAGATAGAGAGAGAGAGATCTATATATAATCATTTTATGTTGTTTTCGGGATATTTTTAAAACTCTTTTTTTCAACATGTCATAAAATCAAATTGTGCCATTTTCTTTGAAAAGAATAGCATTATCAGTGGACTTTTTAGACAGCGAGTCTCTGATTCAATATTTTTTTTAAAATATGCTAATCAATGAAAATTGAAAATTGATAATAGTTTAGTCTTGTAGAGGATAGGTGGACTCTGGGTCTGCAGAGCGAAATACTAGGTTTTAGGATGTGAACCCCGGAGTCACCATAGTGAAATAAGGTTTGGTTTAAGTAAGGATTGGTGGACCCCGGGGTCAACGTAGTGATAAATAAGCAGGTTTAAGGTGGACCCCGGGGTCTACCTAGCGAAATACTAGGTTTTAGGACAGGGTCACCGTAGTGAAACAAGTAGGTTTCTTTAAAGATTGGTGGACCCCGGGGTCAGCGTAGTGAAATAAGTAAGGTTAATTTTAAAAGGATTGGTGGACCCCGGAGTCACCAAAGCCGTAGAGGAATAAGAAGGTTTAATTAAGGATTGGTGGACCCCCGGGACACCTTGATTAAACCTACTTATTTTACTACGGTGACCGCAGGTTCCACCTATTCTAAAAACCTAACTAGTATTTCGTTAGGTAGACCCTGGGGTCCACCTTAAACCTACTTATTTCAATACGTTGACTCCAGGGTCCACCAATCCTTAAAATTAAACCTAGATCTACATGTACTTATTTCACTACATTGACCCCAGGGTCCACCAATCCTTAATTAAACCTAGATCTACTGATTTCACTACGTTGACCCCGGGGTCCACCAATCCTTAATTAAACCTAGATCTGATTTCACTACGTTGACCCCGGGGTCCACCAATCCTTAATTAAACCTAGATCTGATTTCACTACGTTGACCCCGGGGTCCACCAATCCTTAATTAAACCTATATCTACTTATAATTTTGCTACGTTGACCACGGGCTCCGCCAGTCCTACTATAAAATAAACTGAGATCTACTTATTTCACTATGTTGACCCCAGGGTCCACCGATCCTTAGTTAAACCTAGATCTACTACTTATTTCACTACGCTGACTCCGGGGTTCACATCCTAAAACCTAGCATTTTGTTAGGTAGACCCCGGGGTCCACCTATCCTTTTGGCTAGATAGACCCCGTAGTCCGCCTATCCACTTTTTTAAATAATAAGTGAAAACAATATGCCAGTTGTCATGAATAGTGAAGAAAAATGCGGGGAAAAAAAGACAATGAGGTAGACTATAATTTGTCAAAAAAATTGCAAGTGCAAGTGAAGATCATAAAATAATTTTGTTATTTTCTGGTCATCTTTCCCGGTTTATAAAAAAATTCAAGTGGGCCTACTACTAGATCTATGTATCTGAAGAACATTTTGCTTGCCTTTATTAGCTTTTTTCATGTACATGAAAGCATAGAATATATAGTTTCACACATATGCACAATACCTTGAAAAAGAAAGATAAGGTCATTGTTGTTTTGTTGTTTTTTACGGAATCCATTTTACGTTGAGAAAAGCGGTAAAAACAAGTTTAAAAATTTTAAGAATGCCCATAATATTAGTATTAGGAATCCGAAATTACTGCCTAGTTGGCTTACTCTTTAATAACCATGAGCAGTTAAGAAAAAAAAAAGACAATGATATAGGATTTGTCTAAATATGACCATTAGCAATAAAGATGTTGCCCATTTTGTCCAATTATCCTTGCAGGTAAAATCACCCTGCACTGTACCTCAATAAGTACAAAAGGAATATTTCTGTGACTGTATAAAGGTGTGGCCTAAATAAGGTAAGGGAGGGGGGTTTAGCTTATTTAGGCCACAGGTGTGGCCTAAATAAGGTAAGGGAGGGGGGTTTAGCTTATTTAGGCCATATGTGGCCTAAATAAGGTCACCCATAATTTTATGGTGCTTTCCAAAAAGAGACTATCAAGACCTATAGAACAAGCCAAGAACCATGCTGTTTTGGTATTTTGTATTTGATTGGTGATGATTTAAACTTTCCGTAGTCGGCCGTGATGCTGTCAGTCATCAATAAGGTCAAATTCAAGTAGGCCTACATGTGTCCATTACTTCACTTAAAATTGTCTTTGAGCACTTTCTATGGCTCTATAACTTTATTTATTTAATTTGAGAATTAAAACATGGACATAGAACTTAATCGAAGCAGGGATTTGGGTGGACGAACGTTTTTTCAGTGCGCTGCTCTCTGTCAGTCACTTCATCACAGCCGACCATCGACCCGTATCTCCGAGCGATTAACCAGTGCATGATTTTCTCGCGGTACACTTTTGAATCCCTGACTTAAACTTAAAGTTCCTGCCAGATGTTGAATGTTGATTTCCTCAGTCTGATCATGAGGAGAAGCCAGAGGGTAAATGTTCGTTGTCTGTCATCAAATTCCAACCATCACGACCGACCAACACATCACAACCAACAATAAGTAATTAAGTAAATGCTCTTGGCACAAAACTGAAATTCATTTCGCTTGGTTTGTTTTCAGTTTTACTTCCCTTAGTTTTCCATGTGTTTCATTTTCATCCAGGTTCAAATGCACGTTTACACTATCCTCTCAGGTCGTAAATGGCTTTTGATTGAAAAATGACTGACACAGACAGGTCTGTCATTATCACAACCACCCGAATAAACGTTTTTTGTACAAAAGTAGATGATTTTAGGTTTCCAAGGTGTTGTATCGATAATCGGGTGCTATCCGCAGTTCACATGCCATTGTATATGGGAAAAAAATGATAGTGCCTGAAGCAATTAACAGTTGGCCGTGATGGACATTGATGACAGAGCTCATTATAAATTAAATCATGCTCAACTTCTGTAGCCTCTGTGTTGGGTTTGAACTAGAACAACTGTTGAAACATCTATCTAGATCTATCATTTAGATTTGACAGATATATTACTTTTCTATGTCTAGAACCTTCTAAATCTAGCTAGTAATTGCAGATAGAGACCTTTAACTTTAGAAAGTCCTGGTCCCAAGTCACATCTTAAAGAATCTTAAATCGTAAGGCATGAATGTGGGAAGGGTGTCTTTGCATTATAAATTCTTCTCATGGTCGTTAACTGTTAGAAATTTGATATCCCTTACATTTTGGTATGTTTTTTTCTGCGCCAGAATGGTCCTGAACGATACGAGGCTTACAGAGAGAGAGAGAAACTGTATGACCAACGGTGACAGAGAGAGAAACTGTATGACCAATGGTGGCGGCCTGGAACTGAAGAACAAATTGAACGGAAAAGAGAAAATGTTTGCTTCAATTGCTACACCCAATTCTATCTTGTTTTGCATCATTACAACTCGCATATATGTCAGCATTACTCTTTAATTGATGTACTGAAAGGATTGTAACTTACAGGCTTACTATTCATAGTATTGTCTGTATTGAAGGTTGCAGTCTTAGCAAAGGCAAAATTGATTTTTTAGCTTTACTGTAGTCAGCTAATGAGTACAAATATCATGATTGAACAGGTCTAGATGTTTAAAATTAGCTACTGTCAAAATTAGAAAAATTGAAAGATTGGTTGCTGTCGTCTGTGACTGGTGACTGACACAAAGCGTGGGGTACCGTATAGAAATAACTCATTTGATATAAAATATGGTATCCAGCTCATATCTATTCCCAATATTAGTTCTTTTTTTCTAATTCCATGGTGTTGAAAGTGTTCGATTTGTTTGAAAATGAAAAATTTTGTCTGTCATCAACACAGCCGACCAAATCCAGATGGGTCATTTTATGCGCAAACCTCAAAGAGCAGTGATTTTTTAGTGTTGTTTTCTTATGTATCAATGCTTGTAGGCCTACTTATCCTGTGTGAAGTTTCATTGACTTTTGACCAAGTTTAACTTTGGGCCCTTGTGTAACAAAATTGGGAGCACCTTTTGAGAATTGCTCAAATATAAGTGCCAAAGATTAGAGGTGTTACAAGAGAAGTAACAAACACAAAAAGAAGGAAGGGAGACTGAGACAATAGATTTTTTTATAGAAAAGAAGGAGCAAACCACACCAGAGCACCCGTCAACCACCCACTCACATGGCCCGACATGTAATTGTTTGCTGTATTAGTATTACTCTCACTACTCTGTCTCGGCCCAGGTTGGCCCTCACCACAGGCACAAGGAGGCCACCTCCTAAATTTTTTTCCTTTCTTTGTAGTAGAGGGTATTACGGCGCTCGCAACTGCATTAGGTCATATGAGCGCCAGAAGATTAGAGGTGTTACAAGAGAGTAACAAACATAAAAAAGAAGAAGGGGAGATAAGGACGATAGATGTTTGTTGATAGGAAAGAAGAAGCAAACCACATCAGAGCACCCCGCCAACCACCCACACCTCCTAAATGATCTAAGGGAACCCATGATCTAAACAGTGTCAATGGGTGTGTAAAACAAAACATCTTTGTATCTCAGTAAAAGTCTACTTGACACGTGACCATTAGCCAGTTTCATTCTCCGCTTGCTCCAAAGGGAAGGCGTTTTGGTACACAAGTCTATCCTATACAAACTTTGTGAGTTTTGTCTCGAGTTATGCGCAAAAAAAAAAATCACAAAAAATGAAAACAAGGCTACAAATTACAAACAACAGTGAGAAAGGCACTGAATTTCTATATATATATCATTCCATAAGTTGAAAACTTTATTTCTGATCTAACAATACTGTGAACCAAAGAAAACACTTTCACTTTCAGTACACATATTTTCAGTCAGTTCAATGCAATGAAACCGTATGATAAAATGTATGATGTTACTATGTACCATCCAACACAACCATGCACAACAACACAGCAGCAGAGTCACACACTTACTACCAAGCGCTAGATTCTAGTAATTTTTAGAATCTTTCACGACGCATCCCACGGGTACAAATAATATAACAGTATATTCAGACCACTCACGTAAAACTGTCATACGTCACTTTTCAAAATGGTGTTAATGCAGTCTTACAGACTTACACCAAACTCAAACAGTCACTATATATATTTATACACAAACAAGCATATTAACAACCACCCTATTCCTGCAGCGTCTACACAAAATCATTATGTCTAAACTGTGACGATGACTGGTAGTAGTGGTAGGTCCTACACCTTTACTTTCCCTCTGTTGTTTTCTTTCTTTCACTTTCACTTTTTCCCTGCACAAAATAAATGACTTCTTTTATTTCTGTAATGTGCTTCTTTTTACTCAAACAAACAAACAGGCAGTCTTACCTTAGCAGTCAAAATACAAAATGCTTTACGACAACCCATCCCACTCCAGCGTAGTCAAAATACACGCTATTTTGCATGACTTATCACAGTCAAAATATCTGGTGTCATGCCAATCAAATCGACTCCAAAATTGTTGAAGCACATACAATATCTCCTTCTGAATGAAAAGGACTTTGAAGCTAAGTTGAATGAAGTTGATCTTTTCAACTCAGATATTATATTATAGTGTATATTATCTAAGGACCTTTGAAAAACAAGTCTTAAAAACGATAAAAACAGGGGCATGTAGGAAGTCCCTCCAGAAATTACAGCTCTCGCTATCTCCTCTTGCCTTTGCCTTTGACCTTTGCACTTTTTGTGACCAGCTCTGGGCTCTCGTTCTTTTTCAGGTCCTTCTCATCAACATACTCAAACAGATAGTCTAAGATCTCCAGTTTTGTCAAATTCATGGTCTTGAACAAAACCTGATGGCCGTCATCTGAAGAAAAAATAAACAAAAAAACTTCAAGTAGGGTCTATGCCTTTTTTGTCAGTCGTAACACAATAGCTACACAAACAGACACAATAGCTCATTTCTAAGTCTGAGCACTGATTTAGTTTTAGTACATTCGACAGTGCTTGCAACACAAATCAGTCACATAAGTGTGGAAAAGAGTAACATACACCAAAAAAAACCCAGGACACCAGTGGATGAGAGTAGGCTTCAATGTATTTTTCAAGAACCTAAGGAGTTTGCTCAAAATCAACTGAGCCACAGTAGATGGCTAAAAAACCCCCAATTAAATTCCATAGAAATAAAAGTAAAAGAAGGAAGCACAGTAGAGCCCACTGGACAAACCTCTGTACAAACGGCCACTTCCCATTTCTTCCCTCAAGTAATACATGTATTTACAATATAATGACACTATGTAAGACAAACACTTTTCTCATTGACAGTGGGTGGTCATCTTGGACAGGTTCGACTATATCAGGCTATCCAGATGTACACAAGTGGGCTGATTCTTTTGCAAGTCTTTTACTTGGGTTTTAGTATTATGAAATAATATGAGATGTGAGTACACTTTCTATGCTAAAACTGCCGCTGGAACAATCAGTATGGATACCTTGCGGGCCTTGGTGTTGAGAAGAACTGAGCACTTATGAACCTGTCCGGTGTGCGATGGCGTTGTTGCTCAGGACAGGTAAATACAGGTAAATAACTAAAACTAAAACTTATAGTGCTGTCTGCTAAACAAAAAGCCAGATAAAAAAGCAACTTCCACCAGACAACAAACTCAGCAACCTTTAATGCAATAAATTCACCAACTAAATGTTTTATAGACGATTCAAAATCATAGCGAATACTGAAGCTGCGTCCCATTACAACACTACAGATGATGTTCAAATTCTGTCTACGTGCATTTTTCTGACATAACAACATCACCACACCCTAAGATTACGTGTGTGTATGATTATGAAAAGTCGGGGTGATAGGGAGGGGTGGGTGTAAGAGTTATCTTTGAAGTTGAAGTTTAACCCCCCCCCCCCCCTTAAAATTCAGTAAACAGCAATCTCCCCCTGACAGCAACTAAGGCATGCTTCCAAAGGGGGCTGATGCTAGGCAGACACCACTGTACTACAGTGCAGCCTCTCTGTAATGACATTGTCGGGACCAGAAAAAAATGTCGTTATAAAGAGGCAACCAAAAATTACAAATGTTACACAGGAAAAAAATCGGGACCTGGGCACCATGTTGCTATACAGAGGATGTCGTGATATCGAAGGTCATTATAAGGAGGCTGCACTGTATAAAAGAAAAAGCCCAGCACAGACACTGTTTGTGAGTGTACTTTTTTCCCCATATTTTTTTTTGCAGGGGGGTGGGGGTGGGGGGCATTACTCAATGGCGACCGGGAGTGTTTACTTTGCATTATTCATGCGACTGTGAGCCTGTGTGTGTGAGTGCAAGCATACTATTGTGTGTGTGTGAGTGTGTGTTTGTGGTGAAACACGAAATCAATGTGCCAGGATCTGGCAAATAAATATGAAGATCTATCTTATCTTATACAATTTCCTATTTTACTCACCAAGCACTCTTAAAATATGGAGTCATTGTGGAGGTAAGTTTGACCTCACTACAAGTATAACAACAAGAAGCACTGTGGAGTCCTCTTTAACTGAAATCTGCAGGATCGCCGGATTTTGGGTCGGTGGTACTCAGGAACTCTGTCTGATAGGAGTCAAGGCGTGGAAATCATGATGCAGGCTGAAAATGGGCTGAAAGCAATTGACCA